ATTTGTCATCCGTTTTTTCCTCGACTAAATCAGGTTGCTTTTTTCACTTTAAGTATTCTTTGGATCTTCAAGGTATTTCCTGTCGTTATTTTGGTTAGCTTTTACTACAATCATTCGAAAAGATCGTTCATCTGTTTGTTTGCTTGCTTGTTTTCCTTCTCTAAGTAAAAACATCATATTTAACACCAGACACGAATTCCCACCAAAAATCATTTAACATAGTCTTTCTAAAAGCAGTAATCGTAATTGGAAAAAGCTCAGTTTGATCATGAGGATGAAAAACTTCTGTCATATTAAAATAATACATCATACCCTATTGTTGTTCTCTAATTAAGTCAACCCTTTATTAGGGCGTTGGAAGTAAAACCTCTTTTAAATGCTTTGGTATAATTTCGAGTTCATTACAATTGATTTGTCCATCACGGTAATTTTAATTGGATATTAGGAGCATAAAAATCGAGATATGTCCAAGAATTCATGCACTCATGCATTTTACCCTGACGAATCTGACTAAATTTCCCCAAAATCGTCCAATTCATGAACATTCACTTGATTCGACGATTTTGAAGAAATTTCGCCATCTTCATCTCTCTAGACATAAGTTTTAAAAAACAAAAAGTGAAAAACTGACCGCTAGCCTCTTCAATTGTAAAATGAAGGCAATACGTGACTTTGCACAACAAAAGTACAATAAATAATTCATGTAGATCTAGAAGTAACAGGAATTTCCTTTCTTCTGCCCAGTCTCTCTGTCTGTTTACAAAGACGAAATAAATTCCTGATACTCCACTGTAGTGGAGAATTTTGAAAGCATTATAGCCTGTTTTCATGTTTTCGATATTTATAGGTATACATATATCAATGCGTGCGAATGAAAATTCAGTCCTCACAACAAACAAAACATATAAAACATTGTTATTTAACTTTTTTCACATCAACTATTTATAATTTTTCGTGCTTCTGTTTTTGCTTTACTTTATTGTTGTTGTTGTTTTTTTTCTTTCTTTCTTTCTTTCTTTCCAAAAACTACATTTGCTAGGCTGAGGCCAGATTGTTAACTCTATCGCACCTTGGGACTGACATCACGCACTAAACCGTTTGATTGACAGCAGCTGAGATCTGCAGTGCGACTCAGGTATTCCCAAAGCAAAATTTCTTGACCAATGACAGCTGATAAGTTCTAGACATGCAAATTGATATTCCGCTGGTTGATAACCTGGGCACGGCAGGTACGTGTCACGAAAGACAATAGCGTTCTACGCTTTAGAAAAATTATAGTAACTATAACAAGTGACAAGAACGCTAAGCATACGTAAAAGTGCACTTTGTAGGTATAACATTCTTGATCTCCTGGGTTATCTGTAAAATACAAAATCGATTGTGTGATGTGGAGTCATCCTTACAGAAACGAAAACTAGAGACGGGGCAGGGGCTTCACTTGGTTTAAAAATATGCGAGAGCCGGGTTTATCGTTTTTCTGTACCATGAAGCTTCTCGACAATTTCCAGAGTGTTCATGTATTTCAAACTCTGGCACTATGGACTAAGGGGATATACTTGGTTAGTACATTTCTTCTAGCACGTAGGGAGGAAGCTAACAAAGAAAAATGAAAACTAATTTCAAGAGCGCTTAACGAATTACGACGAGGAAAAAAAAAACGAAACAAACACCAAAAAAACAGAAACCAAACTAAACAAAACAGAAACAGAACTATGCAAAACAGATACACCCATAATAAAATCATATGCAATACCTGTTGGAGTTGTCAGTGTTGAACTTGGAAGATCTATAAGTAAATGCACACACACACACACGTACGCATAGAAAGAGAGAATAAATGACTGATTATAACTTGAATTGTAGCACACCATTCAGTAATATGTGGTGGTTCTGAAAATATAAACATTTTTCTTTTCAATAGCAAACCGTAAAATGGCCAAAATTTTAGCCGTAGTAGCTATTAGGCCATTGAGACACTCGCAAAACTTCTTTACGATTTCTGGGAACGTTTATGCACTTAATGAAAACAGTGGCAATATCAAATTAAGGGAATATAATTGGTTTATGTAGTAATTCTTTAAACACTCCAGGAGGAAGTAGGCAAACCAACAAGAAAAAGAAAATGTTTTCAGGAGCACTTAACGAAGTACGTTCAAGAAAAACAAAGAACAAAAAGAACAAACTCAGAAACAGAAAGCAGAACTATCAAAGCAAAGTGAATCAGAACGGAATGTAAGCTAAACAAAACTCCTACTCAAACAAGTAAAAAAGGAATTGTTAACAAAAAAAATTTTTTAAGTACCTGTTGGAGTTGTACATGTCGATATTGAACATGAAAGATCTATAAAGCAAATAAACGCACACATAAAAAGAGAGATTCAATTACTGATCATAACTTGATTCGTATTGCACCGTTCTGATAGAGGAAAGGGGAGAGAAGGAGGAAAAAAGGGAGAGGAAATAGGAGAGGGGTTAGACAGGGAAGTTAGCAGGGGGAGAGAGGTAAGATAGGGATTGAGAGGAGAAAAGAAGGGGATGAGAGGAGAAGAGAGAGCAGAGGTGAGGAGAATGCAAGGGTCAAGAGGATCCTCCACTGACAGATGAGACATATACTAACTGCACATTCTCATTAATTTAGGCAGTTTCACATTCGGTAACTCAGGCAAAGGATTTTAAATGGTAAGAAAATAGAAAGCAAATTTAAATTTTCCTATTAGAGGTAACACATGGTGGATGGATTTAAGACTTTAAGAGAGCATCCTTACCCAGCATCAAATTTTGGTCGTTAAAATAAAGCAAGTCAGTGTAAGCCAATTCAAGGTCTTTCCTCAACTTTCTTTATTTTTTTCTTTTTAAGTCATCAAATAAAGACTCTTTAGAATCCCTTATGTTCCTTTCCTTTCCACTGACCTCTCCCACTCAATAACACACCTACAGCGTATAATAAACATTTTTTAAGAACGCTAATAGAATAATTCAGATGGTGTTATTCTTTTCTTTATGGGTGGATAATTACTATAATTGTGATAGTTTTTTCAATTTCATTCTCGATTTTTTGTTAAATAATCATTTAACTGCTCGTTAAAAAATTCTAAATTGAACACTCACCTTGCACATAAACTCTCACAGTAAGATTATGATTTCCAAGTGCATTCTCAGCGAATATAATGTAGGAACCATCACCGGATTTTGTAATGTTTGGAACCTTCAGCTTTATTTCAGAAGAACTAAAATCATTGGATATGTTCTTTACAACATGTTGTTCTGTCCACACGACATGGATCAAAGAAACCCTTGGATAGGGGTACGCTCTTACTTCAGCTTCTAAATGAAGGTCCATCCCTACATACACATGAATATTTTGCTGACTGATTAGTGTCATTGTTGGGGGCTCTGGAAATAAGAAGAAAATTATTAATATTGGTGAAGAAGTTACAGATATGAAAGCAGAAGGATGCTTGGAGACAGAATTTACTGAGAGCAAAATAATCAAGATGTACACATCACCTTTATCAATTTTAATTTGGGAACTGTAGGCCTTGCTTGTTCTATTTTTTAGGTGTACCCGCATGATGAAGTATCTTCCATCATAGATGGGGAGGACTTTCTTGATGGCCAAAGTCCCATTGGGGTAGACATCTAAGTTCGGATCATCAACAGACACCTTTGTCATAAACGTTATGTCAGCCAAAAAATGCTCGTTCCAACCCAGATGGCAGCTCATAGTTGGGCAGGAAAACCAACCAATCTCAGTCCCATTTTCCAGTTGAATCGATGGGATGTGTAGAGACACTCTTTGGTGAATTCGCACAGGAACTCTACTAAGACCTGTTTTATTAGAGAATAGTTTTTCCACAGTTTGGCATTAAAATATTTCCATGTTCTCTAAGACATTTTAGTGAGATCAATGAATGTTTAAAACATTATTATACTAATTACAATTAGACTTCCGCGCGAATTTCTACTAGACTTGCTCACAAGTCGCGCTTTTGAGCGCGTAGAACAGAAAACCAAGCGAACGACTATGAGAAAGTCTAAATTGCTACGTAAGAGCTTGAATAGGATTGTAACAATGAATTTTTCTGTTACTCCAACAATTTATTTTAAAAGAAAAGAAAAGATGAAATAAGAAATGTCAGCCAAGAAGCAGAGTTTTGGCAAAAGCTCTTTAGAATTTAACCTGTGTAATTATAACACAGCTTAAAGTTACATGTTGCATGCCAATTCAATCGCTAAAAAGCCATGGACCGACTTCCCGCAGCAAAACCCCAAAAGCATGTTATAATACAGTCTGCCAGTGTAACAGTATTTTGGGTATCAATAACCCTAATAGTGTATTATATAAAAGACCAGGGCAAGTAACATAGTATATATCCTCTTTCATTTGTCGTGGACTAAGAGTAATTGCGTGTAGACGTTAGAAAGTTGTTATCAAATGTTGATTCTCGCACTTGAGATTGTGGTTGGTAAAGAGAGGTGTTCATATGTCGTGAAGCATCTTGGAATGAGCGACTAGTCAGCAGTTTCAAGTGACTTTTTTCGCATGCAAACAGCCGATCGATTTGAGACGCGCACGGTAGGATAATTTCCCACTTGTTGGGATTTCGTGTTTATGAAAATGACCGAAAACCTTGTACTTTTCGATTAGCTCTGAGTTATCTTGACTGTCTGACTTGTTTACCATTTGTGCGTGTGAGATTTTCTTATTCCTTAAGTGGCCTTAGTAAAGCGAGCATGAATTCACATCGAGCTAGGACTAGTATTTAGGCAGCAGTGAATCTCTGGTATATAAAAAAACTATTTGCATAAATGACCGACTTTGTAACTTTGCACATTAAATACACATTGATATCTTATTTCATTTGGCAAATTCGGCCTGTGATGCTGGGCAACACCAAATTAATTTGCATGAGCATATAGTAAAGAGTGAAAGAGCCACCGATTGAGACATTATTCCCATGGAGTTAACTGAAATGAGTTAACAGCTTTTGGTCCTTAAGGGACTGGATGGACATAGCAAGTATTGAAACACATTCAAGAGAGGAAGCACTCTTCATCTGTATTGTAATTGAAGACATATTCCATGTCAATGTGTAATTATAACACAGCTTAAAGTTACATGTTGCATGCCAATTCAATTCATTGAGCTAACCGCCTCCCGGTTAGCTCAATGGATAGAGCGCTGGACTGTAGGGCGGGAGGTCGAGGGTTCGAGCCCCGGTCGGACCAACACTCAAGGTCTTAAAATAACTGAGAAGAATATGCTTCCTTTCTGTAACATCAAGAAATGGTTAGATATTCTAGTCTTCTCGGATAGGGACGAATAAATGGAGGTCCCGTCTCCTGCAGGGTTAGGGGTAGGAGACGTTAATTTCCCACGCACGAGTATACTGTGTGATGGATGTCCTCCCCTGGGGTGGGTTGGGTGGGTGCTTACAGGGCCGTTCTGAAAACCACTTCTGTGAGAACGCACCCTGTCTAAAGATTATTATCTATCTATGTTATACATTGTATGCATTTCTATTTTAATATTTTAATGTACATAAAGGTACATAATTATTGTACCATCTACAGAGTAGGAGATACCTCTTTCCCTTTTGAATTGCATTTGAGTTTACATTTCTATGCAGAGTTGAAATGCAATCTATTTATAACTGCTTTATACGGTATATGATCACGTAACTTGAAGACGAAAAAGTATCCTTGCTTGTCCACTCTCGAGCTCAGTCTTTATTATTTCGTGGTGATATAGGTATCCCTTCTGTTAAAGAAAATTTCGGCAGTTCCCAGAGTACACAGTAGATCGCAATCATGTTAATCAAGTCCATAGGGGGAAATTATGAAATAATTTCTTCTTTTTCAAACAATGTCTACATGAGGAGGGGATACCTAGAGCCCTAGTAATTTGAGTATCCATTCTTATCTAGTATATTTCTAAATTTGCAGGGAATGTAATGTATTTATTTCAAAGGCATACATTGGATTGCAATCATAAACATGGGACAATAAAAATGAGTATGGTTTGTGTACTCTTACATGTAGCTTAAAATATCCCACGTCCCTGATGTTCTAGGTATCCTTTCTCTTAAAGAATATTTTAGCAGTCACCACTTTACAGATATAGGCATGAACATGTAATAACTATTTAGGGGGGAAAGGAAGTTACTCTTTGTTAAACGAGCTTTTTACAGAGGCGAGGATACCTAAATCCTTATTGATCTAAGAATTCCTTAGAGTCCTTGCAATCCTCAGTTCCAAATTGGCATGGCATGCACTCTACTCAGTCAATTACTTAGAGTATAAAGCCATTGTGTATAGTCTGAGGAAATAAAGAAACCAAGGTTTGTATACTCTTACCTTGAAATGTGAGAAGATACCCAAATCCCTAATGATATGGGTATCCCCTCTCATGCTCGTGCTGGATGATCATGACTTCTCTTGTTTCCCTAATCTTGCCATAATAACACTTTTATCACTGCTATTTCTTTGTATTGTACGTGATTAAATGAAAATTAAAATATCACTTGGCCACCCATGAGTGTAAAATAAAGGGCTGGGGGGAGGGGGAATACCCAGATTCCTAATGATATATGGATCCCTTCTGATTTGGTTACTGAGATCTTAGTTGAGGTCCGCTATTTCAAAAATCTCCTTGTACTTTTTGACTGTTTGTAATTTTCTTTTGTATGCATGTGTTTTTTGAGTACTTTTGTGTAGTTGTAAACGAGGAAATAACATTTCTCTTTTAATTGCACCTTGAGGTGGAGGGAAGTGTGTACATAGTAGAAAAACATGTCTTGATATGCCTTCTATTTTGTGTGCTCTGGGTTAGGATAAAACTTGTTGTGGTGTATATAAACCTTACTAAGGTCACTGAAGCGATAGGAAAATGTACCCGCACACATGCAAACATGGTAAGCATTAGTCAGAAAATTATATATGATGACTCACAGACTAAGACCTTATCGAAAAGTACAAGGGTTCGGACATTTTCTCAAACGCGATTTTATAACAAGTGGAAAATTCTCCTTCCGTGCATTTCTCAAATTGATCGGCTGTTTACATGCTAAGTAATTCACTTGAAACTGCCGACTGGTCGCTCAACCCAAGATGCTTCACAAGAAATAAACACTTTTCTTCATTAAACACAATCTTAAGTGCGAAAATTAACTTTTGATGACAACTTTCTGACGTTTACAAGCAAAGGCAGGATGCCATGTTACTTGCCCCAGTCTCTATTTAATGTCACTTTGAGGGGTTCTGGGTATGCCTAGAGGGGATACACAGAACACTAGTGTTTTGAGAAAGGGGACACCCAAAACTCGGGGATACCCAAAAGACTGACACCAGCCTGTTTTTAACTGATTTGTAATAAATATCCGCCATGAGTAGTTGATCACGCGTGACAATCGATAATTACTGGTTTCATCTGAATATTCAAATTATAACTCGTCTGGAATTTGATTTTGTGGAAACCCATAGTTCAAACAACGAAAACTCTATAAATCTAGCGGTTAACACAATCCAAACATGCATGAAAAATTAAAGGTGCGCAGAAATATGTGAAACAGTCATGGAAAGACGTACTTTACATGACATTCGTCTTCATACCACTATTATGATCTGTCAGTCGTAACATCAACAAACAAGTGTTTCATTCAGGTCTTACACACGAGTCCAAAAAAACATACCTTTCGCCGACGAACAAAAGACACCATACAGTAAAAGATTCTCTAACAGGATCGCGTAAGCGAACATGTTCGATTTCTGCGGTGAAGTTTTATGCTAACAACGCACGAATAATTATCTTCACGATTGGCACGCTATTGTCGTATTGTGTTCGCTAAACACAAGTCAACCACAGGAAGAATAGGGGTACTATAAACAACGATTTAAAAAAACAAAACAAAACAAAACAAAACAAAACAAAACAAAAAATGAATTGTATACAATAATATACCACTTCATGTCCCAAAACCAGCTGGAAAATTCTACTGATAAACATGGATTAAACTTTTTACTTCAAGAATATTCTCAGATTTATTTCAGCGGTTCCGCTTTGACCAACCGTTCATTACAGGTGGAAGTCAATACAAGCAGGCCCTCGGGACTCGGAAAAGGGTTCCTTTTAATAGAGGTGAGCACTAAATATAGATCATGAAAATTAGAGTGATTACAGGGAATATTATTTGATATTTGAAAACCGACGTGTTGACCGCTTTATACAATGCCCCTCAATACAGGTTCAGGCTTGCAGATAACCTTTTCCCCTGAACACCTTTATAGCTCCCGGCAATCGATTTTTCTTCCACGAAATAACAGAATACTCGGAATTTTACGGACAGACACGAAAAAGTCGGCATGAATTTGGTTGCTGTTATATGTTATAGGAAAACAGCTGGGAGAAGCTGCGAACTGTGCAGAGAAGATGTTCGTTTAAAGAACTCTGGCCACATGACTACTAATGAACACAGTTTTCATTTCTAATTGTTTGAGCAATAAATCATCCCTGTAGCGCTTCCGCTGTATTGCAATACTAAAATCTCCGACATCCTGAAAATTGAGTGTACGTTTAAGTTTTTGTTCATGAAATGTCCAACTTTAAAGTCGAGCTAAACCCACTTGGCCTTACAACTATCTTGCTATTAAAACTAACATTTTCTAAAATTACAACTTTCCCTTTAAACATTTCATTCTACCTTGTGCCATAGGTCAATAACTTTTCGATCGGAAACCGAGTCTCCTGTTACGCTGAAAACTGTGTCAAAAGACCCAGTTTCTTACTGACACGAAAGAAACTAAATTATCTGCGTCGTGAGATAGAATATGGGCTCAATTCAAATGAAAATTGATTGTTTAGAAATTATGAAAGATTGCGAATGTTCTGGGGATGCGTAATGAACTACTGCTTTGACAAAGTAAATAACACAATTATTACGAGTCTCCGCGATAACGGTTTATAGAGAAAAGTGGGTCATTTCGTTCTAATGCCGAATTATCTTCGATACACGAATCGCACAGTAATATATGGCGATACGGATACGACACATTTCGACTAGTGAATTTGCAAGTCACTAGTGTCTGGTTGAGAGGCGTGAAATTTACATTTTTGCATATATTTTGGTGGTTTTTGACATAAACCACCCAAACTGAGTTAAAGTACTCTCGCTGTTTCCAAAAAAAAATTTTGTAATATTTCTAAAACATCTAAGAAACGAAATATGTAGTTACGCCGTTTTTCCTTGCAGTAAAACACCAAACCAGGTGACGATGGTTGGCACTTGAGAAATCCTTTGCGAAAAAACGAAATTGAAAAAATTTAATTCTAAGTCGCCAAAAATGCTGGAATACATGATAGAGTCACAAAGCATTCAGCGTGGAATACCATATCAAACTTATCCCATTTAAAGCTGAACATTTGCCTAAATTGGTCCCAAGCCCCCATATTACTCACCTGATATGCGCAATTAATTAAATATGCAAAGAGCGCCAATTTTCAAAAATGGCGGTCAACAGAGCAAAGCGGGAGTGTAAGACTCCGAAGAGATTTATTGACGAATTCGCCGAAGTTAAGCCTAAGAAATGCAAGAAAATACAAATTACGGATAAGAATATTTATCCAGTTGAGATAACACAGGTCGACAAAGCGAGAAATATGGTTAAAATTCATTTTAAAGGGTACAGTGAGAAATTTGACGAATGGAGGCCATGCGATGGAAATAATTTGCCCGTAATGCGATTGGAACCGATGTCACAACCGAACAGTG